TATATATATATATATACTTTTAAAAACATTTTAAATTAAAAAAAAAAACTCAAGGTTAATATGGTTGATCAGCATGCTTAATATAATTTTTCTATAAATGATTTTCTTAAACCCGTTTTGAATATTTTAATTTTTTATACGATGGCCATAATATCGACTCATAAACATGAATAAATTTGAGTTTTATATGGCCTAAGTTTTTTTTTTTTCAAATAAAAAGAAGATAATTATGAAAGTACTTAAAAATGAAATTTGGTGAAGAAAGTGTTTTAATTAAGAATTTATATAAATTTTGTTGAATAAAATTATTTGTCAAAGTGATTAAATTGAGCGATTTGTCGAAATAGTTGAATAGAGCTTGTACGCTGAAGTGATTGTATATATTCTTCTGAAAAGATAGCCTAGCTAGCTTGTGCAATGACGGCTAACAAAGAGGCTTATTATAATTAGTAAGAATATCTATCAATCTATTAATAAAAGTGTTGCCACTTAGGACCCCATCTTTTCATGAATACATTAGGGATGGGCATCGTGCTGACATTGTCTAGCAAGCACCACTATCATATTCTTTTCATCAAAACTTTGGGGGGAAGACTGGTATGAGATAGGGACTCTCTCGACTTTTTTGCTTTCAAATGGGAATTCCTCTCTTTCTCACTCTTAATTTTTTGTTTGACCAAATTTTTCTGTTTCATCAGAGAAAAATATTCAATACATTTTCTAAGATTCTCTCTTAAGAATCACATTTATTTCTCTCTTTTTCTCTATACAAGGTCTTTACAGAGTTTATGCGCACAAACAATAAAAGACCTTACATCTCAAAATGATTTACTAATATATAACTTTTTTGATTGATCATAAATTATTTTCTAAATTAATAAATAAAAAAAATCTAAATTAATATCCACATTCATATTTTGAATAACTTGGTAAATTATTTTAATAACTACATGTTAAGCAATAATTATTATTAAAGTTATATGTATTATTTTAATAATAACTTCAAATAAAATATCTTAAAATTAATAATTTTAAAAATTGATTGATAAAATTAAGTGACAAATTTTATAACCTTTATTTTAATTAAGGAAAAATAAATAATTGAATCGAACAAATTTGTTTAATTCAATTTGATTTAAAAAATGCATTTTGACTTTTGATTTTTAAAAATTTAATATTTGATTTTTTGGTTATTTATTAAATTTTAATTTTTATTTAACCTGATAAATTTAGTGTTAATTTATGACATTAAATTAATATCATACATGTAAGATCTATAATTTATGACTAAAATTCGATTTTTTTTATAACCAAATCATTTATTTTGAATTAAGTATATTTTTTGGGTGGCAATGCGATGCCACAACACAGTTTTGTCTGTTTAGGTAAACTGCCGTTGAAATCTGCTTTTTCCCATAACTCCTAATTAGATGTGGTGACAACTTTCTAGCAACGCTATGACTTTTTTTTAAAAAAAATGTAATAGTTGTTGTAGCTTTTTTAGCATCATATTATTATTCAGCGGCTTTACAGCTGTTTTTTAATAAGTTGCAGCAGCCCCAAACATATCTTAAATTTCTATTCAATCGATTCAATTTTATAAAATTTTAATTAATTTAATATTTTGATTTTTTATTGTAATTGATTTGACCAAATTGCTCACAGCACTACTAGGGTTGTAAACGAGTCACAGCTTGAGGCTCGACTTGTGTTTGATTCGTTAAAAAATATCACAGTTTGTGTTTAGCTCATTTGTATATTGAGCCAAAAAAAATTGTTCGTGTTTGGCTTGTTGTTTAACAAGCCAAGCACGAGCTATTTGTGAAAAACGAATCATTTTGACAGCCTTAATCATAGGATGTTAAGGATAGAGATTCAAAATATTCTGTTTAAAAAAAATTAATATATTTTTATTCTATTTTTTAAATTAATAATTATAATTGATTATGAATTATTGTAGCCTTATAATCAATTAAAATATTTAAAAAATAATACAAAAAAAATTATATTTATATATTTTATATTATTGTTTCGAGTTAAAATGAGCCGAATACAAGCAAATAAATTTTTAATCGTGTTCATTCATTTATATTTAGCTCCTAAAAAAATTATTTATATGCCTGACTCATTTCCTTAATAAAGCAATCAAAATCAAATATAAGCGAAATAATGAGCCGAAGGAGCTGTTTTGACAACCTTGTCGCGAAGGAATTTTTATTTCATACGTGCAACGCATGCAAGCTTGCATGCGGTACCCAATTAGAAACTGACACGTGGAATCCTGCCCCACTATTATTATATAGGTTAAAAACTTTATTATATGACGCCCGACCCGGCCCGAATCCCGCCCAACCAAAAAAAAATGCACTTTTGTCATTTTCGATTCCCACCAATTGCAGAAAAGTGGTATTTTGTCTTCTTTAGCTATAGGGATTCGGGATATTCTCATTTTGTTGTCTTTCTAGGATTCATTTGTATTCGTTGGATCTGGTTCGATGGAAGTAATTCTTGACGATGAAATGTTGCTGGAGTCTCAAAATACTTACGAGAAACGTGACAATGAGCTGGAATCTCAAAATATTTTTGAGAATCATGAGAATGAGCAGAGTTTAGATGCGGCAGAAGGAATTCGGCAGGTAGGTTATACTTGTTTGATTGCAGATTTAGGTTTTAAGGAATATTTGTATTGTTAATGAAGTTTACTCTGTTTTTATCTGATGTGTAATGCTAAGTTTTGGTTATGGTGGGATGTGGTGTTATTTAGGTAATATCAAGGTGATATACTGGTTGTTTTTAGAGTTGTTTTTCATTTCTGATTGTTCTTCATAGTTTTAGTGGGTTAAATAACTATCATAATGAAGTGTTGTTCTCGTCGTCGTGATGGGGTTAATGGGTAGCTATTCTCGTCGTCGTAATTGTGTCAAAGTGTTACATTATCATTTGCTTGTAATGTTACTGTCGTGGGGATTTGGTGTTAGTTTGGTAGTATCATAGTGTTATTAAGGTAATATTGGATCTACTGACTTGATTTTGTTTTGGTGTATTATGTTGATGTTTAATGGTGTTATGCTTGTGTTATGCTTGTCTTATTGTGATGTTATGCGTGTGTTTTTTTGCCTGTAAGGTCTTTTATATGGTGGGGTGGTAATGTGGTGTTATTTTTGTTTTATCACGGTGTTATGTGTCTATTATAGGCTTGTAACGATGATGCTAGTAACATTTCTTTACGGCGGCATTTGATTGGTCTGTTGTATTGGCATTGTAATGGTGTTATTTAGGTTATATTATGGTATTATCATAGTGTTATTTATGTACTGTAACCTTGTATTAATTTTATTTTGGGGTGCTAATACTGATGTTTAAATTTCCTGTTACCCGAGACAGAGAAATTGCTTCATGCGGTTGTCCACAATGAGAAGGAAGCCTATGAACAGTATTGTTTATGCACACCATATTGGATTTACTGTGCGAAAGGAACACAGTGGTTTCTGGTCGAATTCAAAGAAGCTTAAGACAATGGACTTTGTTTGTGGTAAGGCCGGTTTCAAGAAAGAGTTGAAGGACACTATCACGGCGAGGTTCAAAAGAGCGGACACAAGGACTGGTTGTCCAACCATGATCCGATATTTCGTTGATTTAGAAGGCAACTGGTCGGTAAAGAAATTCATAGAAAGTCACAACCATCTGTTGGCGGAGGACGGTGACAAGCATCTATTGTGTTCCAGCAGAAATATGTGTGACATCAGTGGTGATATCCTCAGATCAATGACAAAATCAGGGATTATAACTAGTGATGCATTCAGAGTCCTCGCTACTGAGGTCGGAGAAGTGGAGAATCTTGATTGCACAAAGAGGGATGCGTATAATTTCATACAAAGAGAGAGAATAGTTCAAATTGAATTAGGGGATGCTAATTCTCTCATACAATTGTTCACTACGCGGCAAGCGGAGAATTCAATGTTTGCATGGGACTTTCAAATTGATGAGTCGGGTTGTTTGGTAAATTTTTTATGGTGCGATGGGATGTCCAGGATTGATTATGACTGTTTTGAGGATGTAATAATATTTGATACAAGTTATAGACTGAATAAATGCAATTCATGTTGTGCTCCGATTGTCGGTGTGAATCACCATTGGCGGAATGTTCTATTTTGTATTGGTTTTTTGTCAAATGAAACGATTGAATCATTCAAGTGGTTATTCAAAGTCTTTATTCGTATAATGGATAACAAGCATCCAATAACAATATTCACTGACCAGGATCAAGCAATGTCTTAAGCCATTGAAGAGTGTCTTCTGCACACCAGATATAGATTATGTCAGTGACACATTTACAAGAAATTATCTTCAAAAGTTCATTGTGACGTCAGTAGCAAGAGAGTCAATGATCTTTTTTATAAATGCCTAAGCAGATGTGACTTAGAAGAGGAGTTCGAAGAAATTTAGGGTGAAATGATCGAGAAAAGAAACCTACACGAGAATGTGTGGTTGGATGAATTGTATAATATTAGGCATAAGTGATCCTTCAATAAAGAAATTTTTGGAATGGGGATTCTATCAGCGCAAATAAGTGAGTCCACGAATAAGATTTGTCATGGTGTCTCCAAGGCAACAAACATTCTAACCGAATGTTTTTTGGGTCTTGAAAATGTAATGAAGGATTGGAGAAGAAATGAGAAGGATAAAGATTTTAAATGTCAGCAGTTTGCAATTTCTCCCACCGTAAAAAGTTGTCCCGTGTTGAGACGAGTTGTTATATTTTACACAAAAAAGTTATATTCAATGCTTGAAGCATAGTTTCTACATGGTTTGTGTGGGCTTACTGTGGAGTGCTCCGCTAATATGAATTCAGAATTTCATATCCAAACTCTCGATAATAAGGACAGAGACAGACCCTGGATTGTTAAATTGGACAGAGGTAATTCTGATATTACCTGTAGTTGTAAAAAATTTGAAATGATGAGATTATTATGTGATCACGCTTCAAGGGTTCTTCAGCACAAAAAATGTTACAAAAATCTCTGATAAATATATATTACTTCGGTGGTCTATTAATACTAAAAGGGACATATATAACAGTTATGATTATGCACATTGTTAGGTGCCAGAAATATTGTCAAATTCTGCAAGTGAACTCATCTATCTCAATCACATTCATAAATGTGCATACCAGATCGACACCAGAACGCGAGGTCATGAACTTGTCGAGAAGCTAGTGTTGGAGGCATTTAATAAACTTACAATCGATGTCGAAGCCATAATGAGTGGACGAGAACCCCTGAAAAATTCAAAATCAAAGAAGAAGACACTGAGTAAAGAGTGAAATGTGAATGATCCCACGAAGATTCACCTAAAAGGAATAACTAATTCAAGGTTAAAAGGATACTGGAAAAAAAATAAAGGAATCAAAAGTAAATGTTACCTATAATCTTAAGTGCTGATTTGATTCACCTAACATGTAATATTGTATACAGAAAAGGAGAAAGATACTGTTTCAAGTCATGATATCATTCCAGAATGTGATCCAATTTTTTTTTCAATGGCGGATCAGTTTAGTCAAGTTTTGAAATCGATGCTGCTGAATTTTTTACTCTTTGATCTATACTTATTTCCTCACATTAACTCATTAATATTATCAATGAACATAAATTTTCTGAAACACAACAAACAAGGACATATACGAGCTTATTAATGGACATATATGATAATATATAGAACATTTAATGGGCATATACAAGTTTATAAATGGACACACAGGGTTTATCATTATATTTAATGTTTTAACTGCAACAGACTATTTATTCAGGAGTTATTATTGTCTTATTACTGTTGTTTAAGTTGAAACATACATTTGCATTATTGTTGTTTTATTCAAGAGTTATTATGGGTTTATTATTGTTTACGTCTATTGTAATATTATCGTTTTAAAAAGGGTTTATTATTGTCGCATAAAAATACCGAAGTACAACAAGCGCAGTTGTCATAATACAGGTTTATTTCTGTCGATCTACCTGATTTCATTGGAATCTCTGGCGACATATTCCAATAAAATCAACGCTCGTGAAAAACTATACAAGCATACAACCTGAACACGACAGTAAAAATACCAAATTACAACCAGCGCGGTTGCCATAAGACGGGTTTATTTCTGTAGCTCCGCCTGGTTTGATTGGAATCTCTGGCGGCATATTCCAATAAAACTAATGCTCGTGGAACACTATACAAGAATACAACCTGAACACGATCGTAAAAATACCAAAGTACGACCGCTGCGGATAAAAACTTGATAAAATTTCTACCGCTCCACCTAGTTTGATTGGAATCTCTGGCGGCATATTCCAATAAAGCTAACGCTCGTGATAAGCATTATAAAATAATATAACCTGAATGCGACCATGAAAATACCAAAGTATGATCGCTGCGGATAAAAACTTGATAAAATATCTACCACTCCGCCTAATTTGATTGGAAGCTCTGGCAGCATATTACAATAAAACCAGCGCTTGTGGAACACAATACAAGAATACAACTTGAAAACGACCGTAAAAATACCAAAGTATGACCAGCGCGGTTACCATAAGACGAATTTATTTCTGCCGCTCCGCCTGGTTTGATTGAAATCTCTGGCAGTATATTCCAATAAAATCAGCGCTCGTGGAACATTATACAAGAATACAACCTGAACACGACCGTAAAAATACCAAAGTATGACTGTTGCGGATAAAAGCTTGATAAAATTTCTACCACTCCACCTGGTTTGATTGGAATCTTTGGTGGCATATTCTAATAAAGCCAGTGCTCGTGATAAGCACAATAAAATAATACAACCTGAACACGATCGTAAAAATACCAAAGTACGACCGCTGTAGATAAAAACTTGATAAAATATCTGCCGCTCCGTCTAATTTGATTGGAAGCTCTGGCGGCATATTACAATAAAATCGACGTTCGTGGAACACTATACAAGAATGCAACCAGAAAATGACCGTAAAAATACCAAAGTACGACCAGCGCGGTTGTCATAAGATGGGTTTATTTCTGCCGCTCTGTCTAGTTTAATTGGAATCTCTGGTGGTATATTCCAAAAAAACCAGTGCTTGTGGAATACTATATAAGAATACAACCTGAACATGACCGTAAAAATACCAAAGTACGACTAGTGCGGTTGCCATAATATGAGTTTCTTTCTGCCGCTCTGCCTGGTTTGATTAGAATCTCTGGCGGCATATTCCAATAAAATCAGCGGTCGTAGAACACGATTGTAAAAATACCGAAGTACAACCTTATATTTTTAAAAACTGTGGTCGTAGACCATTATATTATAATAAAACTACAATACCGCTGAAATAAAACCACAATACAATCTATGTATATTTCTTGTAATAATAAAACTGTAATATTATGTTGTTAAATTCTATTTATATTTCTTGAAATAATAAATCTGTTATATTATTGGCGGCATATTCTAATAAGACTGCATTCGTTGCACAAGATATTAGAATACAATGGGAATACTGCAGAGGTAAAACCACAATACAACAACATTGAGAGATAAAATCAAATATGTCATAAATGCCACCATAATAAAATGGAGGTACAACCGATGTAACATTCTAATAAAACATGTACATAAAATAATATACAACCAAACCACGCAGAGATTAATGTTTCATTCGCAGTACAACCACAAACACAACAGTTGATATTAACGTTTGATTGACAATCTATCTAATACAATAAAGAAAACACATCAGTTCAATCTTATTTAACAGATGAAAACCAAATGCAAAGTCCATATGCTAATTCTGCCTGAAATCTTGCCATTTCTTCCTGCCAAAGCAGCTCTTTGCTCCAATCAACTAGGCTGGCCTGAACTAGTCTTTCGATGTACTTACAGACAAACATGTCGTAGTCAATGTTGTTACTTTGAGTTGGTACACCCTTAACCATTAACAAGCCCCATGTTGTTGGTTTCCTCATACCAAAACATAGTCTAGCATCCGCTGCAAACATTGATATATACAAAGGTTGATGAAGCATTTGTTATTGCATTTGAAAAAATCAGAAAGGGATTGACATTTTATGTGGCATATACTTACAACACGTTCGCAGACTGCCTTATGCATTTTGTTGGGTAATGAATCATATATTCTTCATTTCTTATATTTCAAGTCAGCAATCAACAATATCCAATGCTGGTTCTCCACAATAGGAAATAAGACGATCTTAACATTTTTCACCGCTTCCTTCGTGATGTGGCCCAAAAAACATAAGTCGTCACCACCCTGCATTTTATGATAGCCTTGCATGAATTTACACATTTTTATTATTATCAATGACTGTAAAAAAATTTAATGACGTCAATTATTTTATTTATATACATAGTATAAAGATGAGACATATAGATATCACCAGAATGAGGTTGGATTTTGAGTCCTCCTCTTATGAAGTGCTAATGCATCCATCTGGTCATTGTCAATCCATCCATTGCACAGTACATCATCCATCATACCCCGATCAATATAGATTGAACTGTCTTTTAGGTGGACAATAAAGTCATTCTTGAAAAGTACGCATAATATATGTATCACTTCACATTAATATACTTGTAATGAAATGACAACTCGAATGTTACTCACTAGAAAAATCTATGTACGACTCCGTCAGTGAGGACTACACATAAACAAAGCTGTTGAAATATATAATGTACTAAACAATATATAATAAATTATTACAAAGTAGGTTAGATATACCGTTGTTTCAACTACGTCCACTGCAACTGGTAATTGTGCATGTACTGGAGGTTCATATACCACAATCTGCAAGGATGTTTTAGTTGTTGGTGATGAGATATTTATCTTGGGCTCTTTTGTGGTTGATGACTTATCAACAATTGGCTTTTCTGATGTGGCAGCAGTATCAAGTAGTTGCTCTACAATATCTAAAATTTGTATAATTGTTTGTTTTAATGATGTGGTAGTCTCTTCCTCAGCCATTAGTTCATCGACCTAAGGTTGCTCATCAATATCCTGTGTTGTTTTTCTTCGTTTATACTCAAAGGGAGTGAAAGGGGAGCTTACAACCTTTTTCCTACGACTGCGTCGGCCCTTAACCCTATGCAATAAGCTGGAAATTGTCTGTGTGACTTGGGTGGGCATTCCAACAACAAGGTCTTCTTCATGTAAAACCCTTTGCTCAGCAGTGCCTTCTTCGACAAAAGTTGTTTCATAGGGGGAGGGAGGCTGAGCAGATTCCTCATCAGCATGAGGAATTACAATAGGAGGGGAGGGGGGTTAAGCTGATTCATCAACAAGGTGTGAGATTCCAACATAATGGGAGGGGGGTTAAGCTGATTCCTCGTCACCATGAGGGATTACAATACGAGGAGAGGGGGCTGAGCATATTCCTCAGCAGCATGTGGGATTACAACAGGAGGGGAGGGAGGTTGGGCATATGCTTCCTCTGGTACTATGCCTGCATCAACTCCGTCATTTTCATTTTTCTCAATTTTATTTTTGAATATCAACATTTGGTTTTGTGGACCCAAAACTCCAACAGTTATTGTATTAAGAGTCCCTTGAAACTCCTTGAACCATTTCTCATGTCCATTGATAAGATCAATTATTGCTTCAAGGTTCTTGTTCAAAACATTGTAAATTGGTTCCGGGGCAGTCTCCCCTTCGACCACTGACCCCATATCAAATGATACAGGAGGTTCTGCTCTAACTTCATGCTGAGGGTTTTGAAAGTGTATATCTGACACTGGATTGGGTAGTCCCTCATCTGGAATGGCCAGAAAATTGAGTTCCTCCTCTTTTAGATCCAAGAATTTATCATTGACCTACAATTTATTTCAGGATACGAATACCTTAATCACTATTCCAGAAATAAATTATTTAACAACAGTGTAAATGACTGACCTGGTCAGTGGTTAGCTTCTTAAAGGCCACATCTATCTATGAAGAGTTCAAGCTAACAGTTGTTGGTCGTCTCAACATTCTGGGTCTGATCTCAGCTTCAGCAGGGGCTCTGGCCTCAGCATCGACAAGAGTTACCACAGATGTATGCTCAAAAAACTAGAGCTGCATAAAAGATACTCAATCTTCAACATAAAAGATACTCAATCTTCAACATAAAAGATACTTAATAAACAGTGACAATATTCAACTTATACAATATACTGACCGTAAGCAAATAAAGAAAACAATTTATGTATCCAATAGGTTTGTTCTACAATAATTTGATGGTCACTGCATTAATTTGCTCTATAAGAAAATCATAGATCGCAGCCAACCAATTAAATGAGGCAAAAGTCTGTATGTTCTCCCCAAAGTTGTTAAGTCCTTCAGACACTAAAATTGCTGGAGGGAAAAAATAGATTTGATAACAAAAACTTTATAAACAATTTAGCAAACTGGGTAGAAGACCCCCCTCTTGCGAAGTCCATTAGATTATTTTTCATCTGCTGGGCATCCACGCCACATGATGGATGTTTACTCCACTTTGGCACTACATCTTTATTTGACATGCCAATAGAAGGGCAACTTCATTGGGCAACAGTCGTAGCTCTTTCCTTTTGAAAACCATTTTATTGTACTGCCAACATTGCAAATTTTGCAGTGTCAAGAGATTCTCTTGAGGATAAGGAGGGAGCTCCAAGAACTGTTCAACATTCATTGCTTTGAGCTCATTCCTCGTGTCCTCAGAAATTGAATGCCTAACATTATCCAACGCATCTCTCAATACAGATGGCCAACATTTACAGCTCATTGATCTTGGGTTCACGAACCTAAAAAAATAGTACAATGCAACCAATATCAGGTGTTATTTCAATGGCATTTCAATGCCATTATTAAGGTGTTATTCAGGTGTGGTTGTATTATTATGGTATTATTATGGTTAGATTTTGGTGGTATTATTCACGTAGTACAACGGTATTATTACGGTATTATTAAAGTTATATTTTGATGGTATTATTCTAGTACTATTATAATATTATTACGATTTTATTACGGTTATATTTCAGTTATATTACAGTATTACTATGAAATTATTACGGTTTTATTTTGCTTTTATTATTTAGTATTCATCAAGTTTTGTATATGAATGCTGCATTTTAATTAAAAGAATTGCATTTTATTTAAAAGAACTGTTAATAATATTTTCAAAGAAAAACAACCAAGTAAATAAAATATTACCTGGAGGAACCCTCTTCAATATCCTTCTTCTTACGGTTATTTGCTTTTTTCTTCTTCTATTCATCAGATTCCATTATCGACGGCTCATCTTTGGTTTCCATTCTCAAGGGCTCTTCGGCTTCCACTGTCATAGGGTTTTCATGGGTTTCCATCTCAGAAAGCTCGGCTTCCATCTTGATAAGCTCAACTCTAGCAGTGAACTGACGAATGTACTTCGACCGATGAATGGAGACACAAAACCCTAACCAGATGGCGAATGACAAAAGAGGTGGTGTGCCTGTCGGTTTTCCTCCGGAGTTTTCTTTGATAGGCGTTTCGTATTTTATTTCCAATCAATTTATTCGGAGCACTCGGGCGGGAGTAAAGTCGGGTCCCACGTCATAAAAGTATTTTTTAATTTCAAGGAACACTCGAATATTACCATAAAACAACCATACTAATACTCGACTTTAAATACATAATAACACAATAATAAAACCACGATAACACCGCAGTGCACAACAAAAATACCGCGGAGCTAATAAAATCAATGTCACCACAATAACACCCGAATAATACCACAATACAACCATACTTATACATCACCGTGATGTTAATAAATAGAAATGTTAATAGCACTCCAAACTCTGCAATAAAACAATAATACTACATAATGAACATAGAGCAATAATACTCGAATAATTCACTAATAATACCACGATATTACAGGCGGTCAAATAAACATATCGATACATAGAACAATAACCACCATTTCATACATCTATGACAGTTGAATAAACATCAATATTATGCGACAAAGGGAAGGTCAGTCCGTTAGTTTGTAGATTCAGCTCCAACTAAGTTGGTCAAATTTGTGGGCAATGAGATCAGAGTTATTTAACGACTCATTGAGTGCTTGGTTAGAATTAGTGAAGAAGGAGAAAATTTCAATATGTATAATCTTCATTTTAGTGGAAGGGAGAGTTCCTTGATTGCTCGGAGGCAATGAGATTGAGCTATTTAGTAATTCAAATAATCTTGAAAGATAAGCAGTCGAAAAATTATTCACATCAATGATCAAGGGTTGATTAAGAGGAAGTTTCAGGCTCTTTGCACATCTAAAGTTGATGGAGTTATATAATATGATGCCAATGCCGATGATGTGATTTGTATTGAGTAATTCAGGATAATGAGTTTGCTAAATTGTGGAAACAGACTAAAATGTTATTGTAAGTTATGATGTTCTGGACTTTTTAAGTCTCATGTGACTGGTGTTCCAACTGGTTCACCTGACAGAACACCATTCTCATGAGACTTAAGAAGTCCAGAACATCATAACTTGCAATTACATTTTAGTCTGTTTCCATAATTTAGCAAACCCATTACGACTTACCCGATACAAATCACATTTCGCCATTGACATCAAACTTTATAACTACCTCAGCTTTAGATGTGCGAACAATCTGAAACTTCCTTTTAATCAACCATTGATCATTGATGTGAATGATTTTTTGACTGCTTATCTTTCAAGATTATCTGAATCACTAAATAACTCAATCTCATATTGCCTCCGAGCAATCAAGGAACTCTCTCTTCCACTAAAATAATTATTACACATATTGCAATTCTCTGCTTCTTTATGATTCTAACTAAGACCTCAATGAGTCGTTAAATAACTCTGATCTCATTGTTCACAAATTTGTATCAAATGGTTCAAAAAACCGTACTTGGCTTGTTCACTCTTGTTACTCCTTTCCTGCATGCAATGATTTAAGTTATAGAAATGCCATGCTCTAAAGAGAAATCAATTTTCAAAATACGAACACTATAGTAAAACAAGTGCGTCTACTAAAACAATAATGACAATAACACCATAATCACACAACAATAAAACCACATAAACACAACAATAAAACTGTCTTCAACAGCACAATGACATAACAATAAAGTCATAATAATACCATAATAACCCCACAATAACACCAACATCACTCATTAACAAAAATAACACGAGAATATTGCTAAGATAATACCGCGATAACACTTAGAACCATTACCCCGGACTAAATGCCAACATAACATACAGTTATAGCGACAACAACTTCGAATAAATTGAAAACCACTGAAGTAACACTCCAATAAACCCAGAGAAACAATTGGTTAAACACAAGTAATGAGACAAATGCCAAAAGTATCCCTCCGATAAACAACTAAAGTAACTATTAAATCATTTAATTAAACCTCTGATAAAGCCAGACAAATGCCACAACTATGCATTAATTCAAAAAATAAAATTCGCACAAACCCTGAAACCCTAAAACCACAACAATGTCTTCAAGATTAAAAAAAAAAAAAAACATTATGAGCGAAGTTAAACTCAATTGAATATGGAAGTCGTTTTCGTTGTCGTTGTCGAAAACATTCTGATCGAAGCTAAACTAACTTGGATCTGGAAGTTGTTGTCTTCGGCGAGAGAGCAATCCATTTCGATTTTCGACAGCTCCAAACCTTAAAGTCCGAAAATAAAGTGGGGGCAAACCTTTATGCTTTTCATTTTCCGAAAAAAGGCGGGTAAGGTCTGGCCGCAGAAGGTAAAAAATAAGAACTTTACACATTGTGTTAGTGAGATATGATTCCTCGTGACAGTTACCATATAAAAATTCGTCCGCGAAGGGAGCTGACATTTCTAACGGGCTGAAGAACCCGTTCCGGGCTGGCCCGATGTTCGGCCCGGGCAGAAGTTCCAGCAAAATTTCCCGCGCAAGCATATCGCTAGGGCGAGACCAGCGATCCAGAGAGAGAATGGAGGTAGAGAGGGTGCGGCTTCTAAGCTTGGCGATTGATTTTGGATTCGACGAGGAGGAAGCCAAAAAGTGCTTGGATAGGCTCGTTGATCTGTATGGTAGGATTCTTACCCTCTTCATCCCTTCAATTTTATTGCGATCCTCCAACATTTTTTTTATTTTTGTTGCTCAATTTGTGCTTTCTGGTTCGTTTTGCTATTTCGCTTGTTCTGTTCAACTTAGGTTGGCTATAGCAGATTTAGTTGGGTTATTTGGAGAATGGGATAATCTAGAAATGGATGCGTGAGGCAGGTTTTTCATTTGTTTGCGGTGCTTGAAGTTTGTTTTGTTACTTTTTTTCCTTTTCATTTGCTTGTAGGTTTACGTGGAATGTTGGATTTTGTCGATGCTGTTCTTTTTAGAGGTAGAAATGTAAGTTGAAAAACTGATCCACATGAGAAGTGATGTTGGAGTTGAGTTTCTCATATACTACAGCACTATTATTTATTGGTTTTAGTTTGTTCGTTTAATGGGTGTTCAACAATAGAAGCCTTCTCACTCTCACAAACTCAAAAGGTGTGTTTTACCTTGAATTCAAGTGTGTTCGTGTTTAACTCGTTTGCTTAGCGAGCTGAACACGAGCTGTTCATGAACAAAGAGT